CCCGAACAGACAAGTCGACTCGATGTCGGATCAATGTAGGGCTTATTTTAAGTTCGATGTCGACCCAATGTCGTGTTGTTGTCGGGTCAATTTTGGGTTTATGTTGGGTCAATGTCGGGCCAACATCGGGTTGGGGTTTGATAGAAGTCAGGTTGTCGTCGGGTTGGCTTAGCTTTTTCGCCGGAATGTCGACCAGAGCTCCGTTTGTGTGTAGGTTACACTAAATTGAATGATATATAGCGTTTCTCAAATGAGAATGATCCATGCCTTCGTCAAATGACTAAGCAACTGATATCACCCATTCGGAGGAGGTCCCCTTTGATAGCGAATAGCTGCTTTTCTCATTTTCATCAAAAATGATCTTGAGAATTTACAGCACGGTAGCATGAAGTTAATAGAAGGTTCCTGAACTTTCCTGACGATTTCTGAAATTAAAACAGTTTCCTATACTTCTAAAAAGTACCCCAAACTTGTACAAAGTTCTCGCTTCCACGAAGTTTCCTAAACTTTTTACAAACTTTGCTGAATTTCTACGATGTTCTCTGAAGCTCTACGAAGTTTCCCGAATTTCTGCAAAGTTCCCTGAATATTTATGAAGTCCCTAATGTTTTCCGAAATTCCCTGAAGTCAGAGAAAAGTACCTGAATTTCTTTACAGCACCCCGAATTTGTACGCAATTCTTCAAACTTCTATAATGTTCGCTAAATTTCTATAAAATTTAATGCAGTTCTGCGAAGTTATCTGAATATTTTCAAAATTTTCTGTATATCTACCCAACAAACATTGAGTGAGTTCTACTACGTTCCCTGATTTTGTACACTGTGAACAGCAGGAATGTTCTGTTACTTTCAAGGAAGTTTAGCAAATTTAGCAAAAACTCTCGAATTGCTTAGCAAGTTTCTGAGCTTTTTCCGAATTTGTGATCAAAATTTTACCACCTTCTTCAAGCGCTGGAATAGGCTTTTGATGTTTTTTCAAAACTTTTGTGGGGGTTCCAAAAGGGCTTGGAACTCAGGTCTGATTTTGAAACATTATTTTCAAAAGTTTTATTCCTCAGGACAAATCATCGCCTTTTAATTAATGTTTACAAATCCCGTCAGATAACTTTCAAGGCAGGATCGCGATTGATATTACCGCCTACGAACATTTTTCAGACGGATGAAGAGCTAAAGATCGTTGTCTATCATAATGGAATCGAATTTAACCTCACATTTTGGTAATGAGGCTGCTCTTGCTTCAACTATATAAGTAGTCAGAGATTCAAGAGCATAATTAATACCATCTTGGTAACTGGAAAACTAACTTGGCACAATCCGTTTGAAGTTTATATGGAAATTACTATGGCAAAACCGAGCGTGTGCTTGCTTGAAAGTTTCAAACATCTTACATCAGGCTTACATCAGGCATTTGACCATTCAAAAAATTGCCAACCGCCTCCAAAAAATGCAAATCAATGCATTAGGGATTAGGCAGACCAACCAAACTGAATTTAATCCTTCTTGAAGCAAACCAAGGTCGATGATTTAATTGAGCCACACTATTAAATAGTGTATTCATGGTCACTTGTGGTCTGGAGAATAGAAGTATAACCATGCTTGGCAGTTGTACACACCAACTGCTCATTTGTTGATAACTTTTCACTCAGTTGTTGAAATTTAGATATCTTTAAATTAATTGATGGATTAGGATCATAGTTTACTGTAGACATGCAAAGAGTAGGTAAATCTTATCATTTGAATCAACACCAATAATTTTTACATTTAAAATCCGAGATGTGTAGTGGGAATTTCTCACTTCATATTGCAACGCAACATCAAATACAGTTTATTGCTAGAGTTAAAATCTCATTTTTTCAACGTATCTATAACAAGCTTAAACCGAAGACTACAAATCAAGAAGACTGGCAACTGTTCCCTTCTCCCCTACAAATTTCAAACGTCTCTGATAACAGCGTCTCTGTCAATCAAAGGTGAAACTTTGAATCACAAGTGTTAGTGAGACTGCTCATAAACAGTGACTGTGTGTGTGACCTAATGTCACCGAAACGAATAATCGTAACACGGTACTCGTTGTTGTTTTTGTTTTGCTCTACAAAATTTCACGGCAATTTGTATCCTCTAATCCCAGCAAGCCGGTGGTTTTCCAACTTCAAACCGAAAAACTTGTCATGGTGGATCAAGTAGAGGATTGAAACTCGGATCCATACCTAGTGAAAATAACTTTTACTTGTGATCGAGGAACCGAAATATTGTTAATTTTGCCTATTGAAAGCAATCAATTACAAGAAATTAGCTGCTTCTACCACCATTGAGTGAACTACCATCATTCGTAAGCTGCTGAAAATTCGAGGATTAAAAAAAAAGATCCGGTACATATCACGATTCAACGGAAGGCGTAGCAGGATCCAATGTTGGAGAAATAGTTATGAACTAGCCTTAGGCTAAAAATCTCTTTAATAAAGCCTTAAAAAAAATGTTGGAGAAAATGAAAATGAAAGGTTGAAGGACTACAATCCCAAACGGTACCTACTGATAAAGAATATATTTCCATTTTAGATGTTGTCAGAACATGAAACCACCGGACAGTGATCCTCTGTATGCTTTAACAATTCTTAGAATTGACCGACCCCTTTCAGAGAATGAAAACAACAGTGTCGGATTGGCCAGTGACATTCAAATGGTCAGCGAGTACTGTGCCAAGTTGCCGAGCGTCAGCGGTGGTTAAGACAAACCGACATGGAACTTAAACTTAACCCTTGATCGAGAATCCATAGCGGTGGATTCGAATGTGCAGCGATCCCATCTACAGCTCATACATTTTGTATGCGTGTTTGTGGCTAGAATACACATTTTTCGCAAAAACGGCGGCAGATGTCAGTTTTATTCTTTGATCAGAAATGTGATGGTGCTTTGTATGGTCATTCATGTCGGTTTGTTGGTGACTTAACTTCCCCCACTGTGGCCAGGTGCCAAAGCCATGCGCAACGGGCATGCATTTTACTAATGCACCATACGAGTGCCCATAAATGCATCACTAAAGGGGTTAGGAAAAGTGGAAGATAATTCTGAGATAGCAAATTAATGATCGAGGAAGGTCCCACCATCATTGTGAATGGCATCATTGCCATAGTTTTAATTTTCAAAACAAATTACTCGTTGTCAGCATAGAGCAAAGAAAGAAACTCTTCACTTTTTTCTACCTATGTGTGTGAATGCACTCGTGAATTAACACACATCATCATACACAGGTTCCACTTTTGCTCAGAAGAGGCGTTGTCGTTACTGTCGCCTGATTTTTGGCAGAGTTGCCAGCCTTCTTGATTTGTAGTCTTCGCTTTAACGTACCTCAACATCTTGCTGCGCAGCAGACGATCCCTGGTTCCAGTTTTTTCGTAGGTCCTCTAATTCCTCTCCACACTTAGGGTTTCCTGGTAGGTTTTGAGCGCTCGACAAACTATTGTTTTTGGCATCTTCAGCACTTTAGCCAGCTTGGAACCGGACCACTCCGGATTTTCCAGGTGTTTGTGCACAATATTTTTTCTTCTTTCGAGTTCCATTTGACGTTATTTCTGAACGCGATCCACTACTTTAATCAAACTTACACCCAGTGTTGGCAAAATCAGAAATCAATTGATATTTTTCCGCTCTCATGCGCTCGCAATATCACGCGTGATATTGGAACAAAATATCATGCTTGATATTGATTTTACAAGCTCCTTTGATATTGCGAGACTATTCACAACGTGCAAAAATCAAGCTGAGAGTTGACTCGACACAAAAATAATTCCATTGCACATCGTTTTCTTAGAAAGAGAAAGCATAGTTTGCTATCTCTTTTTAATCTTCACCGATGGCAGACGCGAAGGGACTGCTGCAAGCCGTTATGGAAGTTTCGGTTGCGTTCGGGTGTAAAGCAAAAATCATTAAACTCAATCTCACCACAGTTTGGTGAGATTTGCAGTTGGTGAGATTTGTTAGCTTGATATTCCGAGCTGCGATATCACAGCTTGCAAAATCAACCACAGTTGTTTGCTTGTTGATTTTTGTCTACGAAAATCAAGCGTGATCTTGGGCGTTAGTGAGATTTGATTTTTTGATATTTTCCCAACACTGCTTGCACCATCTATGAAAATCCAAACGCATAAGTTTATATTCTTTTCAGCTGTGTCGTGCACAGTTTGCACATGTAGACGCTACGCCACTAAGCAAAACATATGTACAAGATCAACACGGCAAAAACTGCGTCGTCAAAAGTTCTAAAAGTTATCGACTGCAAACTTCGCAGATAAATTTGAAATAAATAAAATAAAGCATCAAAACTGTTATTTTAGTGACACCCTAAGTAAATTAAGGAAAAATGCTTTAAATCAGTCTATTCAAGTGATATAAAAATGATTCTTAACAAAATTGCTTGAAATAAACTGATATTCAACTTTGCCGGAGAATGTATACCTTTATTATTGTAAATACAAAAGCATTTTTTTTATTTCAATGATAATAAGAACCACCATAGTATTAATATACACAGCAATGAGGACTTATCTGTAGGACAGTTTAGTAGAAGACATTTTTTTTTAAGTTTCAATTTTAGGCTCTCAATGCATCTTTCCCACTAAATTTCCATTCTGGATCACTGTGCAATGTTACAAACCAACGGATACATGAAATTCAATAGCAACACGAATAAAATTTTACGGTTCATACATTTAGCTAAGTTATCTATGGTACTTCGTTCGCTAAAAGACAAGCTTGCTCACATTTGAAAGCTAGGGCCTCCAGGGTCAATGATATTTTTTTCATAGACTTCTCTGGGCATCATTTTCTTGCCATAAAATGTACGATTGCAAAATTTAGCTCGTAAAATCTTTCTAGTTTCTGTCTCCTCTCCGGAGCGTCAATATAAAATTCGACCTTCAACAATGTCCACACACACCCCGGTCATTAACACTCCAATCGAAACAAAAAGTCCCAAACATGTACCAACCTCGTTTCGTAACATACCTTCGATTCACCAATCTGTGTCTCTCTTGTCAACTCATCATCACGTCTCCGATCGGCCACCGTTTGTTTCGAGTCCTTCGGTCTACTGTGGCTCAGTTGGGCTTGCATCAAAACCAATACAATCGTAGTGACTGCAACTGCATTCCATTGGAAAACCATTTTCGGGGTCTATGTTTGATAATGCCTAAAATTCCAGAGCGGTTCAAAGTTACATTTCCATCAAAACGATCTTCACGGTTCGATTTTCCACTGGGATTTCGTTCTTGATCACTAACCAACTCGCAAGGTTAAATGTGCCCACTACCTAAATCTTAATGCTTACGTTAATCCGTTTTAGTGCTCCGGCTTCTGAGCTCCGACCAGCTAACGCGTTTGATTGTCTACGACGAACTGACCGCCATCAGTCCAAACAATAAATCTAGCCATTCATCTGGCGGCGGAATCGGAGGAATAGAAGCCATCGTGCCGCAGCATTCAATTGCCGAAAATTAAGTTCAGTCAATTCGGTAGGTCGTCTTCATCGGCACATGATTATCTAACAACGTGCGCGCGGTGCTGCATCAAACAGTTCATCCATTCACACATCTTTACGGATTGTAGAGATACAGAGACTAACGACTTATTCAGTTTGACATAAATTTTCATTTATTTTTGTTTGCTCACACACTGACTGGTGGAGAGTGAGCATTTTTTTTTTGATTGCTTATATTAGCTATTTTTTTCAAAGGAGGTTCATTTCTTACGAACTAAAGCCATTCACTTGAATCGTCTTCGCGGTGGAGTGTTCGTCGGACAACGGGTGAACTTGTGTGGTTCGTCATTTGTACTGCCGTTGATGTCACGCGCGCAAATTCATCACAGCTGGCTGCTGCAACCTTGAAAGATAATGTTGAAAGAGACAACCGAGCTCTGGCGGTTGTTGGTCTTTGCGCACCGAACTAGGTCACTCCGCGTCCACTTGACTCGAATAGGATTCTCTTGACTATTTATACTAATAACATAACACACAATATCAATGAATCTACAATTTAGATTGAACGTTGTACAAGATCAGTCTGGGAAATCCTTAGCAACTACTCCAAATGACTGGAATCATTTTCTCAGCCCAACCAGTTTGGCCCCGAAGTCGTTCAGCTTTTCCGAAACGCCTTTCGTTGCATGCTGAAAGAGCTTCCGCGGTGCCTGAAAATCATAAAAATTGTAAATCAATCAAGTCTAGGATTTATTGGCAGTCGAATCGACGGAAGCCGGACGCGAAGAAACTTACCGCTATGGCCCTGTTGATAGTATTGGACACGGTTTCGGTGACCTTGACCAGCGGTTTGGTGAGAAAATACAAGTGATCACCTTCGTTGCCGTATTTCTCTGATTCGCGGATGGTGTCGATTAGGGGTGGCGTCTGTTTTTGAAGGGGGGAAAGATGGTGGTGATGGTTTGGATCGTTTGGAGACATATCAGTGGCGTTTACTTACATCAAACCAGCCCTTTACTTTCTGCTGGGTGTTGTCGTATTTGCTGTAGATGTTGGATGGGAAATTGTCCTTCTCCCGGGAGGCATTATCCAAGTGGCGAGGATTATCGTATGAATCGAGGGCGTGAACCTGAAGGAGAGTAAAGGGTGATACGGTCAAAATTTGGTCAATATCAACTTGACGTATTTCTTTCAATTTTGCATTTAAAAAACCTGAACACCCCTCATTTTGAAGGTGTGTGTGTGTGTAGAATGTTGCTCCTATTTTGATTTTTGAATTCACTCTTCAGTTGTCAAAATGCCGTTCAAGCAAGAAGAGCAGCGTATCAAAATTTTGCTCGCGCATCGCGAAAATCCGAGCTACTCGCACGCAAAGTTGGCAAATTCGCTAAAAGTTGCCAAATCAACCGTTAAAGTGTTTGGGGAACGTTTGTCGACAGCCAGGAAGTCTGGATCGGGGGGAAATCGATAAACGGAAGCCGCTGAGACGACAAAGAGAGTTGCCGGTAGTTTCAAGCGAAACCCTAACCTCTCTCTCCGAGATGCCGCAAATAAGCTGGGTGTATCGTCTACAACCGTGCATCGAGCCAAAAAACGAGCCGGACTATCGACTTACAAGAAGGTAGTGACTCCAAATCGCGATGATAAACAAAATACGACGGCCAAAGCGCGATTCCGGAGGCTGTACACGACGATGCTGACGAAGTTTGACTGCGTGGTAATGGACGACGAAACCTACGTCAAAGCCGACTACAAGCAGCTTCCGGGACAGGAGTTTTATACGGCAAAAGGAAGGGGAAAGGTAGCAGATGTTTTCAAGCACATGAAACTGTCAAAGTTCGCAAAGAAATATCTGGTTTGGCAAGCCATCTGTACCTGTGGCTTGAAAAGCAGCATTTTCATAGCTCCCGGGACTGTCAACCAAGAAATTTACGTGAAAGAGTGTTTGAATAAACGTCTGCTGCCTTTCCTGAAGAAACACGGTTGTTCCGTACTGTTTTGGCCGGATTTGACAACTTCCCATTACGGTAAAAAGGCAATGGAGTGGTACGCCGCCAACAACGTGCAGGTGGTTCCCAAGGACAAGAACCCTCCCAACACGCCAGAGCTCCGCCCAATTGAGAAATACTGGGCTATTGTCAAGCGGAACCTAAAGAAGACCAAAAAAACTGCTAAGGGCGAGCAGCAGTTCAAGGCAAACTGGCTTTCTGCGGCGAAGAAGGTGGACAAGGTGGCTGTACAAAATCTGATGGCAGGGGTCAAGCGTAAGGCCCGGCAATTCGGATTTGGAAAAGCGGAAGCCTAACTGAATATTTTTCCTGAATTTTATACTAATTGAACTTGAAAAAGAAATTTAATTTGATTTTTTAAATAAACGATTTCACCGATTTACACGCGTTTTCCCTTGACCAAATTTTGACCGTATCACCCTTTAAGGGTTTGTTTATGAGTAACATAATGTTTGCACAAGAAAAGGTAATGACACATGATAAACATGCTGATTCAAGCTATGACGACTGTTACAATTTATTTTTTTGTCAATCACATTTGGAGCAGTTCCACGCCAAATATCGAATAGATCTGACGCGACCTTCTCCGATTTGAATAATTCAAGACCAATAATTGAAAAGGTCTCACCTCCATTTTGTAAACAAAACTTGGAAGGCCATTTTCTCGAAAACCTAAACCTACATTCGCAAACCTAAAACACAATCGGGTAGGGGAGAATTTAGAATTTCCCCTACTTTTCATTTTGTTGATTTGCGTTGACGGATTTCGGTTCGCAAAAAATGGCCTTACAAGTTTTATTAACAAAATGGTGTTGAGGCCTTTTCAATTGCTTTTTATGGACAGTTATTCACATTAACACTCTAATTCGGTTATTTTGAATCTAGCAAAAAAAAAACTTAAAATGAGGTAATCGAATTTTTTCAACAAATTATGACTCTACGATTTTCACTTCCAATCGAAATGACGTCTGCGACAAAGTTGTAGGAAAAAATATTTGCTTTTCAGGAAATCTATACACGGTAAAAACAAGTAATGTTGGGTAAGTGATCCAAAAAAGTGTTGAAATCTTAAATTAGAGGAAAAAGCCTCTGCAATATTGTTTTAATACTTTCATTTAAAAGCTTATAAAAAATTCAACTTTCAGTAAAATTTAAAATATGATTTCTTAAAAATTAACAAAAATCATTGAACAACAACTTTCGGGAAACATTATTAACAATAATTTAAAAAAAAATCTCTTGTAAAATTTTGCACAGACAACGTTTTATAGACTTTAAAATTGTTTTCTGTGCAAACATCAGACTAAAAAAAATATATACAAATAGTTCTAAAATTTTTACAAAAGTTATCGTTTTTTTTTTTTTTTAAACGTACAACTTGAATTTTTCACAGAAAATAGTACATTTATTAGCATTTTAATGAAAATAGTCAAGCAATATGTAAGAGATTTATTTAAATTTATTCAAGTTTCAAACATTTTTTTGAATGCTTTACTCAAAATGGCATTACATTTTCTTTTCCTTAAAATCAAATATTTTGCCCTACAACTTTGTCTGAGATGAAATTTCGATAGCATTTTCGAGTAATTATTTTTTGGAAACATGTCGCATGAAGATTTTTTTTTTGCGATACTAAAAATGCCCAAATTTTTACTCAAATGTGTATGATTGGCCATAACAAACAATTATGCAAATTTTCATGCAAATCGGAGCACATTCAGACCGCAATTAAAATTTTGTTTGCTATTTGGCCTGGAAATTCTCTTTTTACCCTTCATACAAAGAAAATCGACTGATCTGAGGTCCGGAGAAACGGAAAAATTTACGCTGAAAATCGAACAACGTGGAATCCAGCTTTTTACACTGGCCATAACATAAATGATTCACCCCTCGGATTGACATTAGGCGTTTACCGTTTAAAAAAAAAGGAAAACAAGAACCAAGGGGTATGCAACTCTGCACACCTTAATCTGTGCCACGATATTTAGCAGTGCCGAAATCTGTGCCGATCGTTCCGAAGTAGGCTGAAGTGTATCAATCAAGGTGTCAATATCCCATGAGTTTGGCAACCCTGAAGTTAGACTTTTGTGATTCTGGTTACATTTTTTATTTTTCTAATTGATTGCCATGGTTCATGTTCATTCTCATTAGGGTCTGTTCATAAACTACGTAGACAGTTTTTTGGGATTATTGACCCCCCCCCCCTCCCCATGCGTAGACAATTGTCCATACAAAAAAATTAAAATTTGTATGGGCCGTGGATAATTGTCAACCCCCCCCCCCCTCTAAGCTGTCTACGTAGTTTATGGACAGCCCCTTAGAATGAGATAGCGAAATGGGCGGTGGAAGAGGAACTGAAAGCAATCCAACCGATACGCCCTGTCCCAACAAATGTGTAGCCTCATCGGTGGTGGAAGAAATTTCCACCAGCCCCCGTGTGATGCCTATGGTGAGTACTTGTGATAAAGCAGATTTTCGAGATAATTTGCAGTGGAAAATTCAAATGTACCAAACCTGAAATCATTTCCGTGGATAGAAAATTCTTAGGGATGATTTTACCTGAGAAAATTGAATTTCAATTTCTCCCGTAAACCCGGAATTTAACATCCTAAGAAATAGAGGCAGTTCAGGGTATTTTTTTTTTTCGGAATGAAAATCCTAATCGCTTAGGGATGACTCTCACTAAAACAATTTTGTTGATGACGTGAGACCCGGTGATTCTGGAAAATTCTAAACAAAATACGCGGAACCCATAGCAACGGGATGAAGTACGCAGTGAAATATGTAAAAAGTATCATTATGTGGAACCCAATGTTTCATGGGATGCAGTACGCAGAAATTCCTAATGTGAAAGAAAGCGGAACCTTTCGTTTGGAATAAAGTACTCAGGAAAATATGAGATATTTTAAGCGGAATCCGACGTTTAAGGATGTAGTACGCAGTAAATCTGAACTTAGAGAATGTTAAATGCGGAACCCAACATTTGGGATGAAGTACGCAGAGTGATACTGTGTATATGTATTTCAGTGCGGAACCTGAGTTTTGTGTAGTACACAGATCACATGAATTTTGATAAAAATACGTCACAGACGTAGTGTAGCTCGTAAAGTACCTTAAAATGCGTGTTTTCTAGGTAAACCAGTTGATCCCTCCGTTTACCGAAGATGCCGACGGACCAGTGTCTGCCCGCTGGGAGAAGTGGCGTGAACATTTTGAAGCATACCTAGCATGGAAGGACGTTGACAATCAGGAGGAAAAATTCAAATCCCTGATGATGTTCGGTGGACCAGACATCCGGAAAGTGGTCAAGCAAGTTCATGTTGACGAATCACACGCTATGGAGAACCGGTACCACATTGCCATGTCAATGTTGGACGATTACTTTGTACCGAGACTCAGAACGTCAGAAGTTCCGCGAGATGAAACCAGCTGTAGGTGAAAAGTTTGACACTTATGTCATCAGACTGAAAAAGCAGGCAGCCTACTGTGATTTTGGAGATCAGCTGGAAAGCATGGTAGCTGACCAAATTATTACAACTACAACGGATGTGAGTCTGAAGAGGAAGTGCCTGGAAAAAGACTTTAACTTCAAGGAGATCGTAGCGATCGGTCGTACCCACGAGTCTGTTCAAATACAGATGAGCGATTTGGACAATCGGAACGGAAACTTACAAAAAGTCAGCGCTGTCGAAACGGAGGCCAATGAAGAGTCAATTTTGAAGGTACGCTCCAACCTCGGAGGACCAAGGCGGTTCAGATGTTTCCGATACAATGGCAGACATGATTCGAAAGATCCATCGTGTCCAGCCAAATCACTCGAATGCAGAAGTTGTGGTCAAGTGGGACACTTTTCCCGCTGCTGTTTTCTAAAAAGGAAGAAGACCAACGGACAATCGTCCCAGTACAATCGTTTCGGAGATTCCCGTAAACAAAAGCGATTCGTACGAGAAGTATCTATAGATGGAACCGAGCGCAACTCAGATGTAGTTGATCTTTTCCATCTAGGAGCAGGAAAGAAGCTGGTTCCAGTATCTGTTGGAGGAGTTTGTTTGAAGTTCGTGATTGACACAGGAGCAGACTAAACTTGACATTCGACAAGCTTTCCATCAAGTTCTTCTTC